CGCGGCATGGTGTCCACCGTGGCCTCCTCGCCGCGCGGCATGGTGTCCACTGCGGCTGCCTCGCCGCTCGCTGTTGGGGCTGTCCACGCCATGGGAGGAGGAGGAGGAGAGGGAGGAAGGGCTGTCCCATCAGGGCTCTGCGGCTGCAGCAGCTTCTGGTGGTGACAGCATCCGTGGGCTGTGCCGCTGTTCCGTGACATGCTGGCCTGGCCTGCCCTGCACTGCCCTAACCCACACAGCCTGCCCTGCCCTGCACCATCCCGTTCCACACAGTCCCATCCCACATCATCCCGTCCCGCATCATCCTGACCTGCACACCGCTGCCCCATCCCGCACCGTCCCATCCCRCATCATCCCATCCCACACCATCCTGATCTGTGCTGCCCTGCCTCATTCCGCACTGTCCCATCCCACATCATCCCATCCCGTCCTAACCTGTGCAGCACTGCCCCATCCCACACCATTCCATCCTGTATCCTCCCATCCTGTTCCTCACCATCTTGACCCATGTGTCCTGAACCCCCGCATCCCACATCACACCACCCTGTCCCACCTGCCCTGTCCTCTTCCATCCCACACAGCCCAAATCCATCCCGTCCATCCTGCCCCACACTGCAGCACCCTGTCCCGTCCTGCCATGCACCCCTTGCACAGCCACCCACGGGAGCTGTGGGTCAGCGAGGCTGTGGGGCAGCACTCACGTCCAGCACGGCCGCCAGCTGCCTGGCCTGGCTCGCCAGCTCCTTCAGCTGCACGTTGCTCTCCTGCAGCGATGACAGCTCCTCCTGCCGCCGCGTGAGGGTCTCCTGGAGCTGTGAAAGACCAGCAGGACAGGGAAGTCCAGGACAGCGCCACCACCCCAGGCACAGAGGACAGAGCCCCCCAGGGCCATGCAGGACCCTACCCTGGGGAGAGGGCTCCTGGGGCAGTCCATACCTGGCTGTTTTGCTCCAGGGCATCTTCCAGTGCCCTCTCGTGCTGGTCGGCCACATCCTTCCAGCAGAGCCAGGGAGCGGGCAGGCCCTGCGGGGACAGGGGCAGCACGGCGCCGCTCGCMGGCTGCGGGGCACAGGGGCTGAAGGCCACGGCCTCGCCAAGAGGGAAATCAAAGTTGGCAGAGCCCAGCGGTGCTGGCATCAAGGCGGATGTGTCTGGAAGGGAAATGCACAGGCATTAGGGTAGAAAAGGTGCCCGTGTGCTCTCTTTGCCACCTTCTCTCCACCAAGCATCTCCCCCAGGTGCTATGAACAGCAGTTCAGTTTGCATCGCTTCAGTTTCTTGTGGAGGGGAGGAATATAAAGAGCGAGGTGTCACCTCAGGTGTCTCTATTGGAGGACTGAAGAAGTGCCTGCCTTATAGACCATCCCCAGATCAGAGTGGCTACCCAAAAACCCCCAACTAAACACAGGGAACACAGGAGAGGACCGAACATGGCACCTGGACAAAGTAGCACTTGGTATGAGCAGGCGCAGGCACACTGGGCTCACGTAAGGAAAAACATACTTGCCAGATATAAAATCATCCACAGCATCCTTGAACTGCTGAAAATCGAAGTCCAGTTCATTCTGTGAGCAGTAAACCTGGGAGAGGAGAACGGAACGGGCAGGGCTCAGAGCTGCAGGGCCTGCACGCTGCAGCTGGGACCGTGCTGGATGTGGCTGGACACTGTGTTAGTGCCAGGGCGGTGTGTGCTGCACCGCGACACCGCGGCAGTGTGTGCTGCACCGCAGCGATGTGTGCTGCAGTGCGACGCTACAGCAGTGTGTGTTGCACCATGACCCCATGGCAGCGGGTGCTACACCGCGGCGATGTGGCGGTGGGTGCTGCACCATGACCACACGGCGGTGGGTGCTGCACCGCGGCAATGTGGCGGTGGGTGCTGCACCATGACCCCACAGCGGTGGGTGCTGCACCGCGGCAATGTGTGCTGCACCGTGGTGATGTGGCGGTGGGTGCTGCACCATGACCCCACGGTGGTGGGTGCTGCACCGCGGCAATGTGTGCTGCACCGCGGTGATGTGGCGGTGGGTGCTGCACCGCGGTGATGTGGCGGTGGGTGCTGCACCGCGGCAATGTGGCGGTGGGTGCTGCACCATGACCCCACGGCGGTGGGTGCTGCACTGCGACCCTTGCTGCCCTGGGCTCGGGGCAGCGTGTGTCACCGAGCCGCGTGCAGCCCCTGCAGCCGAGACGCCTCCTGCCCGGCGGCTCGGGGCAGCGCTGCCCCTGGCCCGGGTGTTTAGGGTGCAGCCCACGGGGGACATGGCAGCTGCCCCCAGCTCTTCCCCACCAGCGCGGGCTGCCTTGGTGGCGTCTCCAAAGAGCCCCGTGCGCGGGTCAGAACCGCCCGTCGCGGACAGCGCTGCGCGCCTCCCGCGGGGCGAGGGCAGCCCGAGCCCGCGGCCGTTACCTGCTGCGCGGGCGCGGGGAGGACGGCGCCGCTCGCCGCCAAGCGCTGCCAGTCGCCGGGGGCGGGCGCCGCGGTGCGGGGCACAAGGACGGGCTGAGGG